TCCAGTGGGATAAGGGGAGGCTGGCGCACGTGGTTCCCAAGGAGGGGACCAGGCCCTGAATGGAGCACACGACAGCAAGGGACAGGGCCGGGACCAAGGCCACGGGCCTCCTCCTGTCCTGAGCTTGGCTGCAGCTGTTCCTGTGCCCCTGCCCACCTGGCTGGGGGAGGCCACGAACCACATCTGGAGTGCGATGTCCCTGCCCCTGGGTGGTTTGCGGGTGGTCTTGGGGCCTGGATGTTGGGGGCCCGGGGGAGGGCTGTGCACCCCTGCATGGCCTGGGGCCAACCTTCCCCAGGTCTCCAGCCACGTCCTGGTGGGCATCGCCGGGCGGTGCAGGCTGGCTTTGGGCCAGCAGTGGGCAGAGAGTGCGGCGTGCAGGAGGGAATACAGAGCTTGTCGTTTTCCTGATGGGAAAGTGTCAGTCTCATGCCCCTGCCTGGTGCAAGGCCAGCTCCTACCCTTGCCCGCTCACCTCACTCCAGGGAGCAGGAACCCCAGTGCCGGGTGGGGCACAGCCCTGGCAAGGCCCGGAGAAGCGTATTGATTGGGCTTGTGTGGTTTTTTTTTTAGAGAGTCCCAAGTCGCATAGCCACATGCTAGTGGCCATTTGGGATTGGCCGAGGTTAAGCTTTATATTTGTCCAACGTAATTATTTACCAGAAATGAATCAAGTTAAGTTTTGCTTATATTTGTAGTTTAAGCAAGATGAAGGCAATTCCAAGGCCTCGCTGACGTTGCTCCTGCCTTCTGCCCCCATGGCAGTGCCCTGTGTCCCTGGAGGACGAGGCCCTGTAGCAGAGGTGGCGTCGTCCTTACTCTTTCAAAGCTGTTTGTCATCTAGTGTTGACCCTCACAGCCAGAGGTCACTGAGGGCACGTGTGAAGACACCGGGAATCCCCTGCCCGGTGGGGACACACTGGGAACTGGGAGGGGCATCTACTCCTGTTTGCATCAGGGGGAGCTGGAGACTCCCAACCTACCAGGCTGGTGATCAGGACAAGGAGCTCACAGGGGAGTTTGCAGCCCAGCTGTTCCTCACCTGCTGTTTTCCAGGAATTAGGAGTTCAGTTTCCCTGTGGGCTCCCCTTTCGAGCAGTCCCACGGCGAGGGCCGTCCTGATTCCACAGGTGACATGACAATTGGGGGCCTTGGGAGAGAGGAGCTGGTGGCGCCCCTTCCTCATAACCATGTCTCTGGCCGTCTCAGGCACAGACTCCCGCGGCAGACTCAGCTGGGTGAGTGCGTGTCTCTCTGCTTCAGCAGCGGTGAGAGCTCAAGGCCTGGGGGAGGAGGGAGGGGAGGAGGCAGGATTGTCTCAGCGAAGAGCTGAGAGAATTGTCTCTTTATAATTTTAGTCACATCTCTATGAATTGTGACTAAATCTAGTAGATTTTTCCAAATGAAAGATTAGTTTTATAGATCTTATGAGGCTATTAAATTACAGCATTTTTTAAACAGCTCTTATAATTTTGTGATGTTGTACTTGAACTGGAATTGTGTTTGAGTTTCTTATTTACTAAGTTTTACCAATTGAACTTGGTATATTTAATTAAGTGAAAATTTAGCTTTTATAATACATGGAATCTGAACAAATTCAAAATTACTTAGTCATACTTCTTTGTAGTTTTAACTTTGAAGACACCTTAGGATATTTATAATATTGAATAGCTGCTTAAAATTATAATATCATAAAATTAAATGCTTTCACAATTTTATATTTCTTATATTTTTTCAGTTTACCATAAGGATTATTTTCTTTTATTCTCTTACTCTGAAATTTGGGTGTGGTTACCATAATCCTGTCTAGAAATATCACTTTTGGGTATTCATCAAATCTATGTAGGGTTAATAAATATTTTACATGAAGTGATCTGATAACCTTAAGCATGCTTTTAAATACTTACATGAAATAAACACAGTTTAAGTATTTTATGTCTTCTAAGTAAATTCAATTTATATAATGTTTTTGTATATGTGTTTAGATAAGATTGTTTAGTAATGAGAGAATAATCATTGTTAAGTTTGAAATACATGGCATCCAATTACTAAAAACGTCCTCTAAATTTTACATTTTCACTGTTCATTCGCAATGTTTCAAACTGTAGTTTATTAAAACTTATATTTACCTATTTTAATTTTGTCATTTAAATTCATAAAAATTTGAGTTCGGTGAAGATACTAATACTATATTTTAGCATATATTTTTATTAAGGTAAGGTAGAGAAAATGGAATAAGAAAAGACTGAAACAGAAGAAAAATAACAATAGGCAGTTTTCATTTGTGGAACATGAGGATGTCAAACCCTGAAGAAACTTAAATGGTAAAAAACCTCTCTGTCTTTGAATATTGTACACATTTAAGTTTGTTTACTACTATAGCCCCTGAGTTTCATATATTTAAGGAGGCTAATGTCAGGGGGGACAGAGCCCAAACATTCCTAATCAGGATATGTCAGAACTGAGAACACTTTCCTCTAAATTCCAATTTGGAAATTTCTCTCCAAATTCAATATTTGGCACAGTTGGTATGACTCTCACTGCCATGTTACTGTGATGCACAGGAACATGATGGACAAAAGAAAAAGAAAAGAAAACAAAAGAAAGAAAAAAAACCTTTAAGAAAAAAAAAATACTGTTACATTTTGCTGGTATCTTCTAAGCTATCGTGGTCAGAAAAAAACACAGTATCTATGGGATTTTTAGGATTTCCTCAAATTTCTACACAAGACTCTTTTTCAAGCCCTTCTGCTGTTTCCCTGTCCCCATCACCTGTGGTGACACTGTCCCTGCCTCGGCTTTTCTGCAGGGAGCTGAGGGTTAGAGGCCCTGAGCAGTGTGGAGTCAGCAGGGTTGGGCTTCCGGCCTCACCCACGCTAAGTTCAGCAGCCAGAGTGTAGAGGACGGGTCGCTGCTACCCAGTGGGGTCTGATGCTCGTCCTGCTTACTGTCTTGGTATTTGTACATGGCATAAAGGCCTTTTTGCGAAACTAATTCAGGGGGGAAAGTTGATCTCTTTTCCTAGGGTTGTCAGCTGTGTTCCTCACGATGCCAACCACTGCCACTAAACCAGCCGACTCTCTGACCTTGTCACCTGCAGTTTTCACAGTCATGTTTTGCTGGGGGTGTCTGGTCATGGGAATGACATTGCTGTTCACAGAGTGTGGCAAATTTGATGGAGAAAATGGCACCTTAAATTAAGATAACAAAGACAGGATTTTCATTATATGGATCATATTGTTAAATCAGTGCAAAGATCTCTCTTCAAATAAAATCATGCATTAAATTCCATAACTCTAATATTACTTATTATTAAAAAGATAAAGGCAAAGGATTTTACCAAGGTTCAATTTCTTCAAAAGAATATGTTTGTATGTGAAATAGCACTTAGGTTCTTGTAAAAGTCTTCATTTCAGTGCAGTCTTTGTCTTTAACTCAGCTGTGTGACCTAAATGCAGACTTTATGATCAGTCAGTCTCTCGGTCCTGTTGCTTTTCCATTTTTTTATTCTCATACATTTGAGGTCTTCTAAGCTGTGTATTCAACTAATTTCATAAAGTAATGATGCCTGCAACCAGGACAAATAACATGAGATAATACTTGCAAAACTATCTAGTGAAATATTTTAAAATGTTATGATTTTGGTGATATTTTGTTAAAAATTTGAAGTAAAATATGTAATGTTGAAAACCTAAATACTTTTCCTGGCATGGGAGGCTACCTGTACAATAAGTGAAGTCTGAATGAAAGGACCGCTATGTGATTATTCTTGTCTTTGATTTCAGAATATTATGGGAGCACAAATACTTTGGTTACCTATTATGTGACTATTGTGATGCACATCTATGGATGTCATATAATGGGTAAATATAGTTCCTGTTCTGATAATTGAGAGCTGGATTTTAGAAATTGACACCTAAGATGAAGTGAATCTGTGTGTGATATCTCTGGATTGGAACTAAACCAAGAGAGAGTCATTTCGAAGAAGTACCATTAAAAGGACTTGTGGTAAGTGAACTAATGCCTCCCCCAAACATACATCCTAACTCTCCAGTACTTGGGAATATGTTAGATCTTATGGAAAAGACAAATAAGATTACAGATGAAATCCACCTTGCTAATAAGATAAAAGATGAAGATCTTCTGGATTATGCGGGAGGGGACAAGCATAGATTTCCATAAACATGACAGACAGATGAAAATAGAAGGTGTGAAGGTGATGTGCTGCAAGATGCAAATGGGTTTGTTTTCTAAATTTTTGTTGAGTTTTTTCTCATCAGCAGAAAAGTTCATTCAGTTCAGCTTTACAAAAGATATTGAGTAATCTTATATGCCCATCATGCTTTAAGGTCTAATATTAAATGAAAGAATACAGAAGAATAAAGAAATTATTTTCTAAGGCTGTATGGCGAGCTCAAATAGAAGCAATCAGTTTTGTCACTACATTGAGGCAAAATGGTGCATATGTTGTTTGGATATATATATAATATATACATGATATATAAATTTTATATATATATAAACGCACAGGTCTGTGTTATTTTGTAGAGAAACTATGGCTAAGGCTATATTTTCAATAATTTATATGGGATGATCAGGATTACTTAAAAAATCAAGTCGCTAAAAGCCCTAAAATTTTTCAATGACGTAAAGTCTGTAAAATAACAATAATAATTAGGTTAAGTAACAGTAATGCTGAAGGCTAGAATACTCAACAAAAAAATGATGATATCTCTATTAATTTTTTTGCAGATATAGAAAATGTTTTGTCGATGCCATTAAAACAATCACTTTTCACTTATGTTACCATTAAGAAATGCCTCTCTTTTGCAAGCTGGGATTGGACTCACAGCCAACACCTTCTCCTGCTTCTGCACCCTCCGATACGCTCCTTTCTTGATCACAGCCGAAGCCCCAACGACCTGCTCCACTGGTAAGCTTGGCCCTCGTGCCACATACCTTGAGGTGGCTGCTCACCCATGGTGTTTTCTTTTCTCCAGGCCCGTTTGAGTCCCTGCGTTGCAGAATGAACATTCAGTGTAAGCTCTGTTCTACTGCACAGGGTGAATGCCGGGGGCCTCTCAATCTGCACACACCTGCCTCCCTGGCCATGCTCCAGCCGTCCACCAATCAGCCCCAGCTCCTCCTGGCTGGGGCAGTTCAAACAGAAAATCCAGACACTGACGTTATTCCAGTTTCCTTACTCCTTTTGTGGATCTTCTGTTTTTCCTTCAGTAAGTAACCTGCCCTTCTTTATTACTGAACGGCGGCTTCTAATGATGACCCGCCCCAAGTTGCTGAGCTTTGTAATACTCTCACTTCTCTTGCAGGACTCAGGTGAGCCCTGTTTTTTCAATGAGAAAATACAAGTGACGAGAAACTGTCCTTGTAGGCCGGCATGCTGCTCTCGATGTGTCACATCGGTGACCTCTCTTGTTCAGCACAGAAGCGATCCCAGCACTGCACAACATGTCCCTCTCCCGAGCAGGTCTCCGGAGAAAAGGGCACCCAGAATCATCCTGCTTCCCTGGTCAAGTTTCTTTTGTGTCATGTAACGTGGGTGGACTCGTCATCTCCTTATGCTCCAATGATTTTGTTGCTGATAGTCGGCCCGTCAATGCGGGTGTCCAGACGCGGTTGTGCAATGCCTATGCACAAGTGAGTCTTTGGTGGAAGTTTTAATCGTTTTGATAAAAAGAAAATAACAGTATGCAAAACTATGCGAACAGAAAGCTCATCAGATTTTAACAAAATATAATACTGAATTCTCTGGAAATGGGTGTTTCTGACATCAATTTAATTTTTTCAAAGTGGCAGAGAATTGTTTATTTGAGTACTCCAACGTGTAAAATTGACTTTTATCATAGCTAATAGTTGTTGAAATGGATATTGGCAAAGACCTTAGTGTTTCTTGGTTTAGTTTGCCACCACAACTTTATTGTTCATGTAGAAGTGTGTTAATTTTCCTTTAGATTCTCTTTTTCTTCATATAGGAAACTTGTATGGTTTTTGAGGTGTAACATTAAGAAACTCCTTATCGTTATAAAATCTATGAAGTTTTACTTTATATTATTTCTTTTTCTTTCTTAAAAATTTTCTGATTACCATTATAGATAAACGATACTCTAAAGCCAAGTTACCAATTAATGTTGAAAACAAGTAATTTTTCTTTTAGCACTTTTTTTGTTTAATTTCTGTTTTGCCTGCTTACATACTGTGAAAAGGTCTGCCTTCACCCTTGTGGCTTCCTCCTTCTTGTCCTGTCTCAACCAGATTTTTATTTGTAAATTCTGTGTGTTTATCATTTTGACTGTTAACTGCGAGTATTGATTCTTTTTGAAAAAGTGCATTATGCTTTTTATGGGACACATGTTAGGCTCTTCATTGTTAGAAAGCTGGTAATCATCTTATTTAGTTATTGTCATCATTGTTTTCTGTATGTTACTAGGTGCCAAGTTTAACGATTTCTCATTAAATTGCTATTATCTATAATTATATTGGTATTTTAAGTATTTCTATTGATGATTTAATTCTTCATTAAATTCTATTTCACTTAATTCTTTATCAGCCTAATCTTAAGTTTCAACTTTTAATCCAATTGTAATTGAATTTATTTTATTTTGTTGTTATTCCTGCTTCATTATTTCCAAATATGCTTGTTCGGTATTATATCTTTAATTTCAAATCATTTTGATCTATTTTGTCTTTGACTAGTTTTAACAGTTTTGGTTTTTTGGTTTTTTTGAGACAAAGTTCTCACTCTGTTGCCTGAGCATTATGCCGTGGCGTCAGCCAGCCACATCCAACCTTCAAATCCTGGAACTCGAGCAATCCTGCTGCTTTTCGTCAAGCCTCATGAGTACTAGGAACTACATGCATGCGCCACCATGCCCGGTAATTTTTTTTTTTATGGTATATACTATTTTAGTTGTCTAGCCTAATTCTGTTTTTTTTTAGTAGAGATAGTCTCATCTTTGCTTCAGGCTGAGTTTTGAACTCCTTGAGCTCAAACAAGTCTCCTTTGGCCTCCGCTCCTGAGAGTGCTAGGATTACGCCGTGAGCCACCACTCTCCGCCTCTGTGATGATCTTTTTAGATAAAACTAGCATACAAAAAAGATTATGTTCATCTGGAAAATCAAAATTGTACTCCATGACTCTTTCATTCTTTTCTCCTATAAGGAGTACAGGTGGTCCATTAGTGAAAAAAGAAAATGGAGCCTAGAAATTGGTCATGTGAACTTGTCTCCCTCATCCTTTTGGTAGCTGACCCCAATTATGCAGTACAGCCTCTTCTACAAGTGAAAATGCTTAGATAAAGGTTTCCACGATGCAGTCCTGAACCTTTTCAAGGTAATTCTCAAACTCAAATTACTGTTTCTTTTTTAAAAAATATTGTACACGTGTTCCCGGGTTATTGGAAGAGATACAGTCCTGAGAGTGGCATTACTTTTATTTCCGTTGTCCTCACCTTTCCCTTTGCTGCCGGCTCTCCTGGACTCACAGTGCACTTCTGCTTCTGAGGCCTCGTTGTTAGGGGAGGCAGTCTCTCAAAGCTGGAAAAAAGTTATGACAGAAGTGACCCTGTGTGTGACCCGCTGCACAAAATTCCCGGGGCCGCCAGAGGGCGTCAGGACCCGAGCCCCTGCACCATTTCGTGGCAGAGCACACCCTGCTAGGGCTACGGGGGACGTGCCTGTATTTGCGGGGAGCAACTGGGGAAAAGTGGCTCCTACATGGGCTCAGTGCTCACGCCTGTGATTTCAGCATTCTGCGAGGCCCAGGCAGGAGGATCGCTCGAGCTCAGGAGTTGGAGGCTGCGGTGACATATGGTGATTCCACTGCACTGCTCCTGAGTGTCAGAGTGAGTTTGTCAGAAAACAGAACAGCAACAACAACAAACACCAAAAGAACAAAAAGAATGGCTCTGTGTTTTTCCAAGGGGAAAGACTAGCCTTCTATTTTTTTATTTGACTTAAAACCCATTAGGGACTATTTATTAATATTGTATGATGTACCTATGATTCTGTCAGTAAATTTGAGCATATTAGTATATTTGGTCAGTGTAGCTAGTCCTTTTGCTTGTTTCCATTTTAAGGTTAATTTTAAAGTCTATCTGAAATGAGTAACATAACTTCAGAAAAATTTCAATGAGAGGAGGTGAATATTCTTTTTTCAGGAGGAACTGATATCTCTGGCTACATATTTGTACTCTTGTTATAGTTTCTAGATCAGTTATATTATTGAATTTTAATTTCAGTAAGATGAAAATGTATTTGAAAATTCCCTAAGTCCTTGGAATAATAAAGGAAAATCTGGTGCAGTGGTGTATACCAATCTTTAGAATTTCTAAATGTACTAATGATTTCAGTTGTGGCCCATACTTAAAAAATTTATGTCATAGCAATTCTGTTCTTTTAAAATGCCATTCTTTATCCTGGAAAGAAGCAATGCATTTATCCTAATCTTACTTAGCAGGGTGGATAGCCACCTGAAACACTCTTTGAAGATTACATTTCAATGAAGTAGACCAGGAATACAAAAAAAAACAAAACAAGTCTCTTAATTTTTCCTCCCCTAATCTTACTGGAGGAGTGTTCAGAAATTAAAATTTGTGTTTGTTAAGACTTCATGGCCAGGCATGATGGCTCTCGCCTGTAATCTTAGCATCTGGGAAGCCAAGGCAGAAGGATCGCTTGAGATCAGGAGTTCGAGAGCAGCCTGAGCAAGAGAGAGACCCCATATCTACTAAAAATAGAAAGAAATTAACTGGCAATTAAAAAACATATATAAAAATTAGTGGGCCATGGTGGCCTATGACTGTAGTCCCAGCTACTCAGGAAGCCGAGGCAGGTGGATTGCTTGAGTCCAGGAGTTTGAGGTTGAGCTAGGCTGAGGTGAGCTAGGCTGACGCCATAGTATTCTAGCCCAAGCAACAAAGTGAGACTCCATCTCAAAAAAGAAAAAAAAAAAGACTTCATGCTGTTGTGGGCTTCAAGAAGTAATATTGGTGATGTAAAATGTATAGAAACTATGGCAGGTGGCATTTCTTCATGCCTCACTAAGCTATCTGACAGTGGTGGAGTGTAACTGGCAGAACATAATTGGATATTACATTCAAAATAATAATAATCACACTTTGGATGTCCTTTATGAAACTTTTTTCAGGCATTACTTTTTTTAAATATTGTGATTTTCAGAAGATAGTGTAGTAAAGCTGTTGACTGTGAAAAACAACAACAAAAAATGCCTTTTTCTGCTCTTATTATTGAATTTAATTATCTGTATCTGTTAGCTTAGGAAATGGCATTTCTGTAAATAGAGTTTTAATAGGGCCACTTAACTAATTGGGCTATTTAAACTGATATGGTGGGGAAATAAGTGATGTGTTTTCCGAAATTGCTTGTTAAGATATATTTTCTAAAGCCTCAGTCTGGCTGGAGTTATTCTGTACAAATAATGCAGAGCCTGCCTGATCTACCAAACTTGCACAGAGAATCACAACCAAGAATGTGGGCAAAGTCAGAGCAGTGGAAGTGGATACAATTTTTGTTTTTATCTTCAGAGCTTGAACCAAATTTGGTATTTTAAAGCTGTTTTTCTGTAGCTTTCTCTCTTCTTCCCCCATTTGGACACCCTTAATTCTGCTCTCTTGTCTGATTGCTATAGCAAGGACTTCCAGCACTATGTTGAATAGAAGTGGAGATAGTGGGCAGCCTTGCCTGGTTCCAGTTCTAAGTGGGAATGCTTTCTATTTTTCCCCATTCAGTATGAGGTTGGCTGTGGGTTTGTCATATATGGCTTGCATCATTTTTAGGTAAGCCCCATCTATGTTTATTCTGTTAAGAGTTCTTATCATAAAAAAGGTGTTGAATATTGTCAAATGCTTTCTGCATCGATTGAGAAAATCATATGGTTTTTGTTTTTACTTCTGTTTTTGTGATGAATTACATTTGTAAATTTGTGTATGTTGAAACATCCCTGCATCTCTGGAATGAAGCCCACTTGGTTGTGATGGATTGT